AAACCAAATGATGCCATTGTTGGTTTAATCAGTAGATAATGGAATTTGTTATATAATGAACTTTAGAGATTATCTACTGTTAATCATATGTTTGCCTACTCTTGTCCCAGGACATCTGTAGAAGCATATGGAAGCAAGATGACTTATAACTCTACCCCCAGTATCCTTGGCTTCCTGCTAGGGCTTATATTTTATAGTGTTTCTTTACAAGGACAGTTTCCTCTGGTCTCTTCTTTTCCCAAAGTGTTGCAGTAAGATGGTAGGAAAAGGGTTGATCTCTCCCTGGCTTATTTCCTCTGCCTCATGAGAGGGTGAGTTCTAGTAATTGGCTAACTATAGTACCTTTTTGAGGAGACAAACAATACCATATTTCATCGGTTTTATGACAGAGTTTTTTTTTAACATCTTGGAAATTGGGAAAGTGGGAAATGTCTTTTTTTTTTTTTTTTTTTTTTTTTTTTTTTTTTTTTTTTTTTGGCTTATTCTCTGGTACCGGGAACCGAACTCACAACCTTGCGCTTGCCAGGCAGGCGCTTTTGCCGCTGAGCTAAATCCCCAGCCCCTGAAATGTCTGTTTTTGGTCACTGCTATCCTGTAATTATTGGCTAGGGTAGGGGTCATAAAGCAGCTGTCATTCCTGTGCATCATGAACTTGCATGTATCTCTGCTGTCATACAATTGCAAACCCCTCATATTTTGTTCAGTGAGGGCAGTGTAAGAACTTTCTGAAGAAACAACATTAGTTCTGGTTGTTTTTGAAAAATCTTTTAATGCCTGGGCTAAAATTCAATAAGTAACAATGTAACTTGTTACTTCAGTAAGTAACATGTAACAATTTGCAAAATGAGAGTCAGTGAATTCCAATTAAATCTTGGAGACAGTAGTGACATGCTCTTCCAAGATCACATTCACCAGAGCTTTTAGTACCTAGAGGGCAGTATTGTGTGGGAACACAAATTGGATAACTTTGAGTCAAAAAGTGATTCAGGAATAGGAGACATAGCTCAGTGTGTGCTTGCCCAGTATACATGAGGTCCTGGGCTTTATCTCCATTACTGAAAAAAGTGATTCAGAAGGTAGAACCTAAATATGAAGATGTGTTTAATTTTTCAGGTATTCACAGAAATAGTAGATATAGAGTAGTAATTTATATTTAAATGTGTTCAGAAGAATCCTTTCAAAAGAGATAACAAAACTTCTAGATGGTAAAGTATTGGCATAATGCAGTTAGCAGGTGTTTTTGCCTAAAATTGATAAAATGTAGTGGATTAGAGTATTATTCTATTGTGGTAGCATTTACCAGTATAAAGTTACCTTTTTATCCTAAACATGTTCTCTGAACCCCAAACTTTAGTGTTATAGTTTATCTCTATTTTTTCCAAAGAGAGTAAAATTTAGCAATATTCTGTTTAGAAAATTCCCGTATGTAGCTAATATCTGCTGTATATTTTTTCCCATTGTCTCTAAGGTTAGATAATAGATCTCGTTCAAATATCTTACATCTGGTTTTTTAAAGTACTTTATTCTCTAAAAAGTACATTTCCGTTAAAATTTAAAGCAGTATGAAAAATACAGAAAATCAAAAGTGCAGAAGTTCTGCCGTTGTTGCCAGTGACTTCAGATATTTTTGTGAAGCCATATGTGTGTGAAAAGTGCTGTGCAGTTTTTGTGCAATTGCATGCTTCATGGTAGATTTTTTCATTTGGTGTTGTGGCTACCATTCCCTTTTAAGAAATACTGATTATTTAATTTTAATGACTATAATTTTCCATCATACGACTGTACTACATGATTTAACTTTTTAATGGATGTTTAGGGTAGATTCAGTTTTTCTAACACCATTTTTTTTTTTTTTTGGTTTTTCTCCGGTACCAGGAACCGAACTCATGACCTTGTGCTTGCCAGGCAGGCGCTTTGCCGCTGAGCTAAATCCCCAGCCCCCTCTAACACCATTTTTAAAAGTGCTTTGATTCATATGTTTGTATATGCATATTTTTGTTTTGTAAAATTGGAAGTTCTTAAAAGTAAGATTTGAGCTTTTTAAATTTATTGAAGCCTTATCATTACTTTTTAAAAGTTTAGCATTTTTTCATTGAAAGGTCATAGTATAGTTTTGTTGAAGTTATGTGTGTAATACCTAAATTTCTTATAAAAACAACCTAATTAGTACATATTTTAAAGCAAAGGTCTTGGCTTCTGCTTCATACTTGAAGTCTTTCATTTGCAATTAATAATGAGAAGTTATTCAACCAAAACTAGGAAATTGAAAGTTTAATTACCAAGGGCAAGGAAAAATGCCAAAACTGATGGAAATACAAGAAGACTGGAAAAGTGTAGGAGAGGCCAAACTTAGTCCTTTAAAGGCTCTTGACCGGGCCTAAAATCAAATTGACGTAAGATTAGCAGCAGGAAAGCATACAGATTTAATGCCTCGTTTGCGTATGTGCGTGTGCATGTATGTGTGTATGTGCATGGGAACCCTCAAAAGGAAAGGAAGACTCAAAGAAATGATGAAATCTATATTCCTTGATATTAGGTTGAACAAAGAGAGGCAATTATGAAAAAGTAGGTAAATTATGTGGGAGACTAAAGGAAGATAAAAATTGTTTCAATAACATCTATTTGTACAGAATTCTCTGGACTATGACTTCTATAAAAAGGTGTTTCTTTTCTTTGGTACAAGGAGGGCATCTTTCTCCTGGGACTTTTTTTTTTTCCTTTTTAATGTCCTTTTGTCAGTAAGGAAAGGAGAAGATGAAAATGCCCTCTTTGCACCTGTTTCTCATGTACCTTTAGCTCAAAGTAATCCTTAGGTTAAAGAGGTATAGTTAGAATACCCTTCAAGGGCAGTTACTAAGGTTGGGGGAAAATAGTTTTTGGAAATAGACTTGGAATTAAATCCTGATTCAGTCTCTACTAGCTACATGTCTACAGGAAGCTTTTTTACATGCCCAAGTTAATTTATATTCTCTTTTGAGATAGCACTAATAAAATATCATGGGATTCTTTTGAGGATTAAATAATAATAGTAATAATTACACCATATTTTAAATAATATATGCCAGACATTGAATGAAATATTTATATGTATTTTTTCACTTCGCAAATATATATTAATTCTCACAAACTTGAACAGTGTAGGTAAATTTCACTGACAAAGAAACTAAAATGGGGATTTTCTAAGTTGCCCCTAGCAGCACAGCTAAGAAGAGGCAAAGCAAGAATTTGGTCTGACGCACCAAAGCTGGTGATTTGAAACTGTCCTTTATGCATATAAAACACTCTGCACAGCAGGTTGTAACTAATACCATGTTTAAGTTGTCTTTTAAAAAGTAGTACGTCAAGAGGATGAGAAGAGAAGCTGCGAACTGGAATACTTGCTGAACATGTAACAGAAAAGGGGATGTTATCCAAGATATACAAAAAGTCTTAAAACCCAACAGAAAATGAACAGCCTGGTACTTTTTTTAAAAAGACAAAAGTTTTGAACAGATACCTTGTCAAAAAGGATATATAAGCACCAAATAAGCATATGAAAGGATGCTCCATGGGAATTGTTACCCCTTTCTGATCCCAGGCTGGGTTCATTGCCCCTCTCTGGAACTGTGGAACCGATGACAAGACCAAGCATCAACTGAACAGTGAAGGAGATTTTTATTCTTGGCCAGGAATGGGAGTAGGAGATAAAACTCTATTTCCTATTTGGTGTTGAAAAGCTGTTGATAGAGGGTAAAAGAAAGGAGGAAGGATAGGCTTATGAAGGGGAGAAATATTCATGTCTTTTCTGGGAATAGGGGGAAGTCTCCTGGAAATTTGGGGTACCATTTATCTTGGCTCCTTTTATGTTTCTTGAGGGCGACTGTTAATTATTAACTGTCATGGTGCTGGGGTTGGTGCTATTTAGGTTGCAGATGAGTTATAATGCAGTTAGAGGGTGTCTGGGGGTCACTCTGGCAACTGTCTTAGATCCAACCATTTTGAGTAGCCTACCTGAAGAGGAGCCTCTGACCTGCAGGCATCCTGTCCTCAAACAAGGTTAAGGTAGGGTAGTAACACAGCTAGGTCAAGTAGGCAGTACAAGATTGGGGCATGATAAGAGAATTGCACATGTAAATAAAATGCCACTATATGCGTATTAGATTGGTGAAATTCACAATGATAGCATCAAATGCTGGCGAGGGATGTGGAACAACAGCGATTCTCATTTTGTTGGTAGGTATGCAAAGTAATGTGGCCACTTTTGGAAGACAGTTGACAGTTTCTTACAAAATACACCATAGGATCCAGCAATTACACTCTTTGGTAGTTACCCAAATGAGTTGAAAATATGTTTACATAGAAACTTATACATGCATGTCTATAGCAACTTTATTCATAACTTGGAAACAATGAATATGTCCTTTGTTAGGTGAGTGAATAAACTGTAGTACATCCAGATGAGGGAATATTATGCAACACTAAAAAGAAATAAGCTATCCAAATATGAAAAGACTCAGAAGAACAATTAAGTACATATCATAGAGTGAAAGAAGGCAAAAGGAAAGGAAATGTCTGCATATTGGTTCCAACTCTTTGACATTCTGGACAAGGCAAATAAAACCAAGGAGGCAGTAAAAAGATAAGTGGTTGCCAAGAAGTAGGGGCAAGGGAGTGGTGAGGAGGTCAGACACAGAGGGCAATAACACTTCTGTGTAATGTGATAGTGCCCTGTTAGCCACTTGTTGGAATTCCCAAGTGTGTGCAGCACCAACTCTGAGCCTGGCTGTGAACCGGGATGTGGAGTGTGAACGATGTGTTCACGCAGGTTCATCATTTGCTCCACATGTAACTGCCCCATGTGGACGGTTGATAGAGGGGAGGTTTGCGTGTGTGCGAGCGAAGGGCATGAGGAACGCGGTACTTCCTATTCAGTTTTTCTGTGATGTTCACAGTGCTTTAACAACGATTTTATTAAAAAATACATGTTTTAAGGGTGATATTTCTGATACTTCACTTTTTAGGCCCAAAACAAAGAGACCAATGTTTTAGCTGCTGCAAAGGTGATTGACACCAAATCTGAGGAAGAACTTGAAGATTATATGGTTGAGATCGATATATTAGCATCTTGTGATCACCCAAACATAGTCAAACTCCTAGATGCTTTCTATTATGAGAACAACCTTTGGGTAAGTTTTTTCTGTTCATCTGTGGGGTAACCAAAATGAGTTACTTGTTGTAAAGAGGTTGTGATTTTACGTATTACCTCTTCTGTTTATGTACTTACCTGGATGAGACTTGTTTGCCTACAGAGGTGTCACCAACAACACAGTTATCCTCAGCTTCAACACACGTTCATATAATGTTCAGGTTATACCAGCGTCATTGTGACTGTTAGACATTGGATCCAGGGGGAAACACTTGGTTAAGAATATTAAATAGTAAACTTCTCAAAACATAAAATTAGATGTACTTGTTTGTAATTTTAATTTTTTAAGATTTGTTTTTAAAGAAATTGTTTATATTTTTTAATCCTAAAGTTTTTGTAAATGATGCAATAAACTCTAGGTTAATATTCAATATTTATATTATATACCATCAGGTCCAGCTTTACTGCATGGCGGCTAAGTTGTATGTATAAATGTTTGTAGGAAAATAGGCACAAAATAGATACAGAAATAAAGTATTAGTATTCATGATGATTACCAGCCAGTCCTTTGTTTTATACCAACTTAGTTCAATCAAGAGAGCCTTTTAAAATGAAGTTTCAGTTTTTCTCCTTGAAGGAAGAAGCAGAGTGTTCTGAGAGAAGAGTAAGCGGCATAAAGAAATCTGACTGGAAATCAAGATGAATAAATACCTGCCAAAGTATTTTTCAAATAATATAATTAATTTGAAAACAATTGGTAATTGGAAAACATTCATAAAAATACTGTTATAGTGAGGGTAAAAATAGCAGAGAGTTATACAATTTGTTAAAATGTTATTTTTAAAAAATTAGAGTTATTATTGTGATATCTTTTAAAATACTGTAGTTGTTCAAGTCTCCAGCACAGTATTTCCAAAGATTATAATGAAAATGCACTCTGATTTAATATGTCTTCACTTGGGACTACTGCAGTATGAAGATTTGGATTACTGTTTAATAGGAGACACACATTAATGAAAGTCACAATAAGTATAAAATTATAACTGAGGTAGGGTTAAGAGGGAAAGGTATATGGTGTTATTTCTTGCCACAGCGTCAGGGAAGGCACCCATCAGCAGTGATAATTGAGTTAGACTCTGAAACTCTGTATTTGTTTTTAAAACTAAAGTCTTTATATATTTTCAGGGTTTACTTTTTTTTTTGGTGGTACTGAGGATTGAACCCAAGGCTTGCACGTGGTAGGCAAGCACTTTGCCACTGAGCTGTATTGCTAAACCTGTACTGTTTTATTGTTTGAGACAGGGTCTCTGAGTTACCTAGGTTGGGCTCAGACTTTGGATCCCCTTGCCTCAGCCTCATGAGTAGCTGGGATTATAGACAGGTGCTACTATATTGAGCAGAATTTATTATTAGTAAAGTTAATATTTTTGATCAGTTAAATCATAATAGTTATCTTAAAATGAAAGTAGTGAATTCTTTCATTAGTGACAAAATAGATATATTATACTGTACTAAGTAAAAATCCTGTATCTGGTAATTTTAGAGGACACTAAAAATGGCCCTTAGTGAAAATGTACATGCTTCCACAATGTGTTTTCTTTGTTATTTAGTAAATGTTTATCATTTAAAACTTACAACTCTTTTGACAGAGAAACTTTTATTGTTTAGCATAATATCGTTTCCATAACCTAGATTATTTGATAGCTATTTCTTTATCTTTTCTGCTAAACTGAAGAAAAATTCTGAAAGTTAATACAGTTTTTAGACACATGCTTTTTTATTTGCATGCAGATCCTCATTGAATTTTGTGCAGGTGGAGCAGTAGATGCTGTGATGCTTGGTAAATACTTTTTTATTCTTTATGTTTGTATCTTAAAACTCAGAAAGATTTTAACCATTTATTTATTATATATATCAAATTATTGAGTGAAGTTCAGTAAATTAAGAAATCAATTTAATTATATTTTTATATTGGACAATTATAATACAGTTCAAAAATTAAAATGAGATGTTGAGTTATATGTCAGTAAAGTATTCTTTGTAGATATTTAGTTCTCAGATAAATTCACTGTATATAATCTTTGACAAGACCACAGTGATGGTATATACTGGAATGTATAAAGCGTGATGGTGTGCTTTCATTGTGTACGAATGCAGATTTTTTTTTTTTTTTACTTTATTCTTACAGAACTGGAGAGACCTTTAACTGAGTCCCAAATACAAGTAGTTTGCAAGCAGACTTTAGAGGCATTGAATTATTTACATGATAATAAAATCATCCACAGAGACCTAAAAGCTGGCAACATCCTCTTTACCTTAGATGGAGATATTAAGTTGGGTAAGTTATTCACCTAAAAAAATTATTTGAATTTGTGCTTTGAAATTTACCCCTATATGTATGTGACTTAATGTTATTTTATTACTAGTTAAATATATGAAACATGGAGAATTACTCTTTACAAATTTTTTAAACACTTTCTTGGATAAATGTTCCTGAACTCCCAGAATTCCTAGGTATAGGCATCTAATTGAAAGACAGGTTTTTAAAACAAGCAAGAGAAGGTGGATTTTTATTTTTAAAAGGGCAAATTTTTATAAGTGTGGTTAAAATTTTTGCCTTAAATTTTTCTGAATAGATTTAGAACTTGTAAATATTTTACTTTTAGAACATAGTATGGTATAGTATAGTATAGTATTCCTCAGGTTTTTTTGTTTTTGTTTTTGGTGCTGGTACTGAGGTTTGAACCCAGGGCCTTCCCACTGAACTATATCCCTAACCCTTTGAGATGGGATCTCACTAAGTCACTGAAGTTACCCAGACTTTAATTTGTCTGGGTAAGCTTTAGTTTGTCATCCTCCTGTCAGAGGACTGGGATTAGAGATACGTGCTACCATGCCTGGTTTCAGTTTTATCTTTATTTACAGAATTTGTGTCTAGCAGGTCTTTTTCTGTATTTAGTTTTATGCTCTGTTGATGTGGTACCTTTGGTTAAATTAGCAAAGTATCCTGAAGTTTGAAAAAGATATTTAAAATAAGTGTAAGGACTAGCATTTTAATTTTTTTTTTACATCAAAGGAATGATTAACTATCCATAAGACAAAATATATTCAAAGACCATAATGATAATCAATGATTATAATCATTTTACTTTATCATGACATCTAAACAGGTGATAAATTTTACCCTTTTTGTCACATAAACACAGAGAAAACCACACAAACACTGTCTAGTTTAGTGACTTAGTAGCTTTATAGACAAGAGCTTTGAAATCAACACCTACATCAAGAAATCAAAGTGTCAGGCACCCAGATGTTCTTCCATGTAACCATCTCAGTCACCATCCTTTCCTTCTCCATACTCTGACTTTTATAACAATCACTTCCTTGTTTTTTTATGACTCATTTATCCTGTGTTCAACATCCTGTATTTAGATGTGAAAGTTTAAACTTGTCCACATACAAATTTTGATTTTTCTTTTAAAAACTTTAATTTATAGGTCCATCCCACTCCCTTTCTTATATACATTCTTCTGGAGGCACTATCATCTTCAAGGGAGGAATTCTTGATTCTTTGGGGGCAAAAAACATATTACCTATTATAATGGTTTGTGACCTCTACCTCAAAGGCCCATGCTACAGATACAGTATCTGTGATACTGAAATTTGATGGGTGTAAGAGGGATTAGGAAAAATGGTCTGAAATACTCCTTAAGGAGGGTATTGATGAAAAAAGGTGGAAAATACTGATCCATGCACCTAGGCCAGTGATAGTGAATGTTTTAGAGATGAGCAATTAAACCTGAATATTGAGGTTTTAGTTTAGAAAATAAACCAGTTCAGCTGGGCATGGTGGCCTACACCTGCAATCCCATTACTTGGGTGGTTAAGGCAGGAGGATTTCCTGGGCTACATAGTGAGTTCAAGGCCCTGAAATACACAGCAAGATCTTGTCTCAAAAAAAAAAGAAAATAAAACAAAATAACTCACACATTAACATATTTTGTCTTAAAAAAAAAAATACAAAAAAATAAACATGCTGTAGGTTCACCACCACTGATCGTAGGCTGTTTGACCTGTAGCATTTTTCTCTATCTGCATTTTGTATTCTTACAATGATTTCAGTAAGTTTCTCTTCATTTTTTTCAAATTGGCAGATGAATCCAAAGGCTTGATGAGTCTCAAGTCTAATAATTAGACAAGATGAAATGGTTTTTGCATTCTTTCATCAACAGGCACACAATATCCACTTTTTACTCGTTTCTTTGTTTTAAATATTACAGACAAGTCCAGCTATAAACCAAAATTAAATTTATCCAATCACTTTAATATCATTTTTTAAAACTCAATTATATGTATTCAACACTGGTTAATACCTGGGATTCTTCTTTGATTTGGGCTGCAAAATGAATTCTACATTGTTTTTAATTTATTATTTTGATATAATCATTTTATTATTTTCATTTATTATTTTAAATTAACTAGTTTCCTAGGGTTACAGTTCATACAGAAAAGACAGGAAAATGCTTTATTCCTTTATTTAGCAGTTAAGATAATAAGCTGATTCTTTGATAGTTGTCTGAGCTCTAATGATAAAGTTGTGATGTTGCTGTTCTTTATAATTTAAATGAGAAAACATAAAGTTCCTAATACTCCTTTTTATGAGGAAGTTAGTAAGACTGCTGTCATAAAGGCTGCTTTAATGTAATTTCTGTTTTTCACACTATAAGAAGATGTCTGGAGGTTTCATTGCAGTATACAGCACTAATTAGCAGGGTTTTTTCTGAAGTGTATAAGGTATTTTAAAATTACTATTTTGAGCTCTGAAGAATATATTGTTTGAAGACATATGAAGATGGTGACATTAAATTTATTAATTATGGAAACTGGTAGTGTTTTTGGAAGGGGTAGAAAGACAGTGGTCAAGATTAGAATGTAGAAAATTTATTTTGCTTACCCTTTAATATGAGTATATTTATTGAAGATTTGAAATACTCCCCTCTCCTTCCTGTTGAATATAATTAACTATGTTTAAAAGCTATTATTAATACCATTGTATAATTGTTTATTTCAAGCCGATTTTGGAGTATCAGCTAAAAACACGAGGACGATCCAAAGAAGGGATTCCTTTATTGGCACACCATATTGGTAGGTATCAGTTTTTATAAATTTACAGTATTAGTCATGTCAGCAGTTTTTTCCACCCTAGTGCCAGGCAGAAATCCAGAATTCAGAACTTTCTCACTGAACTGTATCCCCAGCCCTTTATTTTTTATTTTGAGGCAGGTCTTGCCAAGTTGCCCAGGCTGGGCTTGAACTTGTAATCTTCCCCCTCAGCCTCCCATAGTGCTTGGATTATAGGTGTTTGCCACTGTGCATGGTTACCAATTATTATTATGGATAAATTTGGTCTACATTATTTTTGTTTTTATTTATTAATTTTGTTTGTTAGTTTGAGACAGGATCTCACCATGCTGTTTAGGCTGGCCTTGAACTCACTGCATAATCCAGGCTGGCTTCAAACTCAGTGATCCTCCTGCCTCAAACTCCTAAGTACTGAGATTACTGGCAGGTGCCACCTCTCCCAGCTATCCATATAATTTATTATACTGTCCTGTGTTTTTCAACAATTGTGTTTAATTTTAACATCTTAACTTCGAATTCTCTCTTTTCCTAGGATGGCTCCTGAAGTGGTCATGTGTGAGACATCAAAGGACAGACCGTATGACTACAAGGCTGATGTTTGGTCCCTGGGCATCACTTTAATAGAAATGGCTGAAATAGAACCACCTCATCATGAGTTAAATCCAATGCGAGTGCTGCTAAAGATAGCAAAATCTGAGCCCCCTACATTAGCACAGCCGTCAAGATGGTAAACTTCTAAACCAAGCTTTTAAGAAGCACAACTTGATGTTTCATTCTTTTAATTTTCCAAGGGTATTTAACTTTAGGTATATGGTACAAAGACCATGTGAATTACAAAATTGATTTTGGATATATTTTCAAGATTTAAGGACTAGGGTGGGGGTATAGCTCAGCAGCACAGCACCTGCCTGGCAAGTGTGAGGTCTTGAGTTCGATTGATTCCTGGCACCAAAAAGAAAAGATTTAAGGACTATAAAAATAATTATAAATAACTTTTCCCTGTATTTGAAAATTTGAATGAGTTGAGTTCTACAAGAAAAATATATTTTCTGCAAGGTGAGAAAGTGAGGCATATATGTGGTTGGTGTATATTTGTGGAATTTAGTGTAATAGAATTTTTGGCATACTTGTGAATATATGGCTTTGTCTCAGTGACTGTGTTCCTATTTAGATTTATTTCTGTTGTATATATTCAGAAGAATAAATTTTATAAAATTTTATTTTATTAGCTAGTTTTCTAATGTTAATACTGTTCCTAATAATGAAACTTAAGCATGACTTATCAAGGAATTTTATTTGAATGTCATTGTTAAAATTTTATTTTGAAGGTCTTCAAATTTTAAGGACTTTCTAAAGAAATGCTTAGAAAAGAATGTGGATGCCAGGTGGACTACATCTCAACTACTACAGGTAAAATAGGGATAGTACGACAACAGCAAGTCATATTGTTTTCATGTCTCTTTAAAAGTACACAGCCGGGGACATAGCTCAGCAGCACAAGTGCCTGCCTGGCAAGTACAAGGTCGTGAGTTCAATTGCCGGTACCCACAAAAAAAAAAAAAATAAAAGAGTACACAGATCCATTCATTGTGTTCTCTTTGCATTTGAATTTGTCTACAGAAAGCCGAAGTATATTATGCAGTAATTTGGACTTGCTTTGCAGATGTACACTGCCACTCCTAACAGGCGCTCAGTTCATAAGTCATTGCTCTCGTGCTTCACTTGGTTTAATTATATTGCTTTCACTTTCCTCATGTCTCTGTAGTTGCTAGAAAGCAGGCGTCTGTGGGCAAGGGCCGTTAGCTAATTAATTTCTAGAATGTCTCTTACAGTGAACAGAAGTATTGGATACATATAATCAAGTTTTACTAAATGATACTAAAATGATTGGATAAATTTAATTTTGGTTTATAGCTGGGCCTGTTTGTAATATTTGAAACAAAAGTTTGTCAAATCAATAATATTTATGGGCAGACAAACAGGATAACAAATTTACAGGATAATCATTGTATTAGGATGACTTATTGTATAACTCCTGCATGGTAGTGTTTTAGACTGATCTCTTTATGGGGTGGGGGAAAGCAGGAAACAAATACCTCATGTGTACAAGTATATCCCTGTCTACCTTTTCGGACTATTTCACTATTCCTACATCTGAAGGCCTTGATTTGTGGCAGACACTGTTGTGCGTTGAGTGTACAGAGGTGGATGAAATACCTTCTTCAGGAATATTAGGGCCATCTCAAAAACAAAAGAAAACAAAAGAAAACAAAAAACAGGTATTTGTAGATGCTTTGCACAATTCTCAAGCTTTTTGTAATTTTTTTTAGAAATTGAGGTTTTGATGTGATTTATATAGATTGTTACTTTTTAAGAACCAATGATATACTGACTTGCCTTAAATTTTAATTTTTTTATTATGAAATTTTAAGACAAACAGAAAAATACATGTACAAGTCACCATTTTTGACAAATTTTCTTCAGATTCTTAGGGAATGAAACACAGATCTAGTTGCTGGCAACTATGACTTCTGCTCAATCCCCTCTCTCTCCTTTCCTTTCCAGATAGAACATCTTCTGAAGTTACTTGTGTTTTTCTTACATATAGTTTACATTTTTAGCATGTAAAGGGTGTGTTTTACAAGGTGTAAAACACTTACTGTACAAGGTGTCTCAGTAGTTGCTGAGCTCTCTCTTTTTCATGATCAACAGCACCCTTTTGTGACTATTGATTCCAACAAGCCAATCCGAGAACTGATTGCAGAGGCAAAGGCTGAAGTAACAGAAGAGGTTGAAGATGGCAAAGAGGAAGACGATGATGAGGAAATAGAAAATTCTCTGGTCAGTACTTTGAAAGGGAATTTCTTTTAGTAAGTTTTTAAGAGTAGAGTTTTGAAATACGATGGCACCTGTATCTTAAGGGTTAATCTGAGTAACAGCAGAAAACCTTTAATTTTAGAGGTAACAAGGTTGCTCCTTGCTACCCGTTTTTATCATGTTTGGTTGAAACTATTATTATATAACATTTATTCTTGAATAATTATCATTACTTTTATAACTTCAACTTTTATTGAGTATAGATCACTGTTATGAACATTGTTTTGATCATTATCTTGAGGTCATTTTTTAACACTAAAAATACATAAAATCTCTTTTAGCCGATACCTACAAATAAGCGTGCCTCCTCTGACCTTAGTATTGCCAGCTCTGAGGAAGATAAACTTTCACAGAATGCTTGCATTTTGGAATCTGTCTCAGAAAAAACAGAACACAATGCTTCTGGAGATAACTTTAGTAGCAAAGTTCTTAATGAAAAGCCTTGCACTGATGAACCTGAGAAAACTGTGGAGGATGTTGAGGAACACGTGACTGATGCACACTCAGGAGCTGTGGCCGAGCCCCCTGAGAGAACGACAGAGCTCCAGGAGAATGGAAGAAAGGAGAAGAGACCCAGGCTTGACAGTCTGCCTGACACTGACGACCAAGGAATGAGAGACATTAATTCAGCCAGTGAAGAAAAAGAGAATAATGCAATCACTTTAGAAGCAAGTACTAAACATAATTTGAAACCTGAGGAAGAAAGGGATCAGGAAAAGCAACAGCTACTTGAAAATAAACTTGTAAAATCTGAAGATAGTGAACGGACCGTTATTCAAACAGTTGATCTCGTATCTCAGGAGACTGGAGAAAAAGAGGTAGAGACTCGTGTCACTGACAGTGAAGTGCATACAGAGGGAGACATGCAAGAGCACTTGGGAGAAGATGACACAACTCCAAACAATGTGACGAGTGATACAAACCATGCAGGAAGAAACGAAGAAACAGACGGTGCTCAGAAGACAGTTGAAGACAGCCCTGAGGGTGTGCAGAGTGATGAAGGGAAAGAAGTGGCTGAAGGAGCGCAGAAATTAGTAAGTAAGGCCACAGAGGGTCCTGGGACTAGCGGCACTGAGGAAGTTCCTCCTGTTACGGAAATCACAGAGACTAACGACGTAAATCAAGAATTTGTGGAAGATAAACGTGAGAAACAATCACTCATCAATTCAGAGAATGAATTAGACACCAGTGAGAAACCAGGGACAAGCGAAGCTGAGGAAGTTACTGAGCCAAGTAGCACTGAAGAAACAGAGGTGAGAAGTGCAGTGACTGGTACCGATGAAGGGGCTGTTGGAAGTGAAACGCAGGACAACGCTCATGAAGCCGTTCCTCAGGTAGATACAGAGCAAAAGCAGATTCCACATGAAGTGCCAGCTGAAGCAGAACCTCAGGTTCCTGCAGCTTCACAGCCCGGTGAACCTCAGCCTGTTCCAATTCCCAGTATTAATATCAACTCTGAAGACGCAGAAAATAAAGGAGAAATAGGTGCTTTATCAAAAACTGAAACCATACTGCTACCAGAATCTGAGAATCAAAAGGAAAATGACACTGACTCAGGCACTGGTTCCACTGCTGATAACAGCAGCATTGACTTGAACTTATCCATCTCTAGCTTCCTAAGTAAAACTAAAGACAATGGGTCGATGTCTTTACAGGTAAGTGGATGTGGGTCCTTGTTTGGGTTTTTCTTTGCCATTTTGGCAATTTAAATTTTAGTGATTTCTTACAAATAAGACACTATTAAATCAGTATATTACTAACCCTGTGGATTCTTTTGGGCTACGAAAGTAATCAGTTAAAAAGAACCAAAGAGAGGCCGGGCATGGTGGTCCATGCTTATAATCCCATCACTCGGGAGGCTGAGGCAGGAGGATTGTTCTGAGTTTGAGACCAGCCTGGGCTACAAAGTGAGCTCAAGGCCAGCCTGAACTGCATAGTGAGACATTGTCTCAAAAAAAAACAAAAAAACAAACAAACAAAAAAAAACAAAACCAAAGAGAGATTCTGGATGTAATCTTTAAAGACACATTATAGTTTAGTTTGCATATCTAGGGACAATTTAGTAATGCTCAGTAAGATATAAAAGAAGTGAAAAATTAAAAGAATTATCTCTTTTTTTTTTTTTTTTTTTTTTGAGACAGCATCCTACCATGTTCAGGCTGGCCTTGAACTCACTTTGTAGCCCAGGCTGTGGGCTGCTATCAACTTGCAGTGATCCTTGTGCTTTAGCTTCCTGAGTGCTGGGATTACAGTCGTGCGTCAGCATGCCCAGTCAAGAATGATCTCTTTTTAAAGCATGTTTAGGATGTAAACAATCCTTGACTCACACTGGCTCCTACAGGTGACCAGCCTTGCTTCCTTATAGCCCTGCTGCTCCTGGGAGGACCACGTTAGGGAAAACACACAGCCCACACCTGCAACTCCAATACAAGTGGAGCTGTGAGAGTGAAATTCCCAAAATCCTAGTGTGTTTAGGCTTACCAGGGAAAGCTGTGTAGAAGCCTGGAATTGGTCCCAGGAATAAATGCCTTAACAGAAAGGCCCGTGGATTTCCAGTACAGGTGGGTCATGGACTACCCTCTGGAAAATACTTCTTAGAGACTTTGGGTTGGTAAGTAGCAGAGGAGAAGACTCAGAAGCAGTCCAGGGAAGCAGACCTTGGTGACAGGACTCAAGGGTGTGACTGGCCACATTGCCTAGGTACCTCAGAAGGTTCCGTGTCTTGCCTGGATTTTTGTCTTTTTTCCAGTTTACTTCGTTTCACTGACTGGAATTTTACCAATCCAAAATTAATTATGCCAGGGTGAAATTAGTTACGTAATAGCCTATTTTAGAAAGACAAATGCTTTTGTGAGAATTAAGGTGGTATTAATTACACCTTATTAGCAGCCAAAGCAGTGTGAAATTTGGAGGGTAAAGGAGTAGAACTGCTATGGGGGGTGTGCCAGCTTTAGATTTAGAGGAGTTTGGGGAAGTGGCCATGGTCCAGGATTTAGGGAGAGGAGCAGGAGGACCTAGGAACTGGAGGGCGAACAGTGCAGACAGAGGTTGTAGAAGATGATCAGAAGGTACCAGGAGCAGGCTGTTGAACATTCCAGCGCAGTTTGAACTTTGTGTTCTCACCGTCCAGTTTTGCTCTCTACTTCCTAACCTCTTTCCCCAGATCAAAACCAAGTCATCTTCTGCCCTCTATACTTAATCTGCTTAGCACGATGTATTTGTAGGAATGTCATGTTTGTAGCCTTTCTGTTTACATTTTAAAGCTTTTGGGTACCTGCGGAGAAATGGAGAGTGTGGTCTTGATAAGGAATTTTGGGATATAGCTAGTAGGTAGATCTTGTACTTCAGGGTGTAGTAGCACGCTGTCCTTCTGGTAACTGATGTAACGCATCTAGTTCTGGTCCTAGATAGAGGCGTACTTTGGATATTAATATTACCGATTATATAGATTTTTTTTTTTTTTGGTACCAGGAATCGAAGTCAGGACCTTGTGCTTGCCAGGCAGGCACTTGTGCCACTGAGCTATATCCCCGGCCCTGATTAAATAGATTTTGGTGCCAAGAACCTTTTCAGAAAACACATCCAGCACGCTCCAACCCATTGCTTTAGTTTTTTAAGGGATGAGCCATAGGAATTTTTTTTTCCTTGGTTTTTTTGAGACAGGGTCTCACTATGTAGCCCAGGCTGGCCTTGAACTTACAGTGATCTCTTGCCTCAGCTTCTGTCTTGCAGGGATTACACATGGCTACCACCATATCTGGCTCAGGGAACTCAGTCTTACGTGTTTTGTCAGTGAAAAAAGCAGAGGTATCTCAGAACTCACAAAAGTGAAAAGATACTGTCATAAAAGTTTTATATGCACATTATCAAAATGCCTGTCACTTTTTTAAAGCTTTGATTTCTTCTGTAAAGTTAAGTCTTAAGTCAGATGAAGTCAGATGAGGTTTAAGGTAATGTAACCGGTTTCCCAGAAGAGTGGTATTACTTTATATTCATATTTTATGGTCTTCACGGCTGCTCTGCCATTTTATTTTTAAAGAATATGTTTTCTACATCCAATATTCTGTATCAAAGCCTAACTGAAATAAAATCTCATGTAGGAAACAAGAAGGCAGAAGAAAACATTGAAGAAAACTCGCAAATTTATTGTTGATGGTGTAGAAGTGAGTGTCACAACGTCAAAGATAGTTACAGATAGTGATTCTAAAACTGAAGAATTGAGGTTTCTTAGGTGAGTAGAGAAACAACATTTCCTTTTTGTCTTTTTGAGACAGGATTTCGCTGTGCAGTTCAGGCTGGCCTTGAACTCACTTTGTAGCCCTGGCTGGCCTCAAATTTGCCGGGATCTCCTGCCTCAGCCTCCTGAGTGCTGGGATTACAGGCATGCGCCACCATGCCCTGCTCTTACTTTGTTTAAAAAACATTTAAAGCTTTGTTAAAAAAAAAAAAAAATGGTATCGGTTCCAAGGTGTAATTTTTGAAGTCTTCTTCTTTGTCATTACTTTTGTCAGACGTCAGGAACTTCGAGAATTAAGATTTCTGCAAAAAGAAGAGCAAAGAGCCCAGCAGCAACTCAACGGCAAACTACAGCAACAGCGAGAACAGATTTTCCGGCGCTTTGAGCAAGAAATGATGGTAACATCTTAGATTTTTTTTTTGTACCATTTTATTAATAATGATATTCAGTGCTTAAAAAACAAGCACTAGTGGGTTTTAGAAGTTGTTCTGAATCATTAGATTATCGTGATTTTGTGATGTATTTCTAGCCTTTATTTCTTTGGTGTTCTGAATGTCTTTGTAAAAAAATTCCTTTTTCCTTGGAAGAATCTTCCAATTTCAGTTTTGTTATCACTGATTTATGGTGTGACAGGGTCTTTATTTTTTCCCAGTTCAAGTTTGTCATGAAAACTTAGAAACACGAAGCCAGAGTTCTTAGATGTGCCTATTAGTGCTTCCATTCAGTCGTCCTGTTTAGAATCTAAGATTTTAAACCAGTCTAAAGCGAAAGCAATCGTCTTCCAGCCCGGCTGAGTATGAGAACTTCCTAAGGGCTTTTTCAGAGTACTCTTTCTTCTTTGGCTCCTATAGGAAAGGCTCCATATCCCTGTTCATTGCTGCTATAGAAACAGTGCTAATGAGTTAAGGCATGTTGTTGCCGAGTCTGTCAGTTTTTTCTTGTGCCCCAAGTTGATGAAGGAATTAGTAATATGATGCAAAATTTTATTAACTTACGTTAATGTAAGTTAGGGAAGAAATATTTGAAGTAGTTTTTAAGTTTACATCTCATCCTTCTGTGTAATTTTAGGTGGTGAGGATTGTTTTGCATGAGATGTGGCACTGTTGATTCTATCTGCTAGGTAACTGCAGATTCCTAAGAAAATCATGGAAGTTTGTTTTCATTGTGTATTTTTATAGTATCTGTATTCTCTTTTCTGGGGCTATATGAAAATTCTCTCTTTTCCCTCCAAATATTTTCCTAAATGTTTTGCTTTTCAATTTCTTAAAAAATTTTTTTGCAAATTTTTAACTATACATCTGTCCAAACTTACCTACCCAAGTCCTATACAGTATGAGTCTTTTGTTGAAATAGTTGATTTATAATTGCAAAACATTTGTTTCAGTAGCATAGGGTGCTTATTTTTAGACTCTTAATGAAGAGTAAATGTCAAAATGATGAATAACATTACATTATTAAAATAAATTCAGATGAGCCCCTCAATTTATCAAGAAATTTTATTGAATGAATACTGTCAGTTTTCTAACTTAAGTAATCCATAGCAACTGGGTTTTCTTTTGGATTGTTTAAACTTTTTAAATATTCTGCTACTTATATAATGGAAGTAATTTTCCGTGTTAGGTAAATTGCTACTTTCTGAACATTTTCTAATACTTTCGTGTGTTTTATTTGTTCAGTACTGGAAAGGTATATCACTTAATTTGAATATTAGTTATGTGCTCTTAGTAAATATCTTCACTTTAATGAGTCAGTATGCATGTTAGGAAAGCTAAATCACCCTAAGTTACAACATTTTACAGAGTAAAAAGCGACAGTATGACCAAGAAATTGAGAATCTGGAAAAGCAGCAGAAGCAGACTATTGAACGACTGGAACAGGAGCACACGAATCGCTTGCGAGATGAAGCCAAACGCATTAAAGGGGAGCAAGAAAAAGAGCTGTCGAAGTTTCAGAATATATTAAAGAATCGAAAGAAGGAGGTATGTCCAACTACCGTTTCTAATTATGTAAGACTGCCTAAGGAAGTAGGAGCAATACCTGGTAGCTAAATAGCACCCATTCATTCCTTTATTCTGTCTTCCCCACAGTGATACTGGACGGTAGTAGTAAGATCAGGTGTACCAAGATCAGGTGCTACCAAGAAACCTGGAGTAAAAGAGGCTTTAGTGACATAATCAAGTGCATAAACTGCCAATCTAGAATACCCATCTAGCTAAGCAAGCCTTCAAGTTAAGTCTGATCCATATTCCAATCTACCATTCCTCTTTTATTAATATAGTATTTAAGGCCTTGAATAACAGTATTTTTCAAGAAACCTTACTTCACTGGTATTTGCCAGTAATACCAGTAATTTATTTTCATGTTTGTTATCTTTTTTTTTTTTTTTTTTTTTTTTTTT